CAAGCACCTTGTCTGTACGAAACAAGCACCTTGTCTGTACGAAACAAGCACCTTGTCTGTACGAAACAAGCACCTTGTCTGTACGAAACAAGCACCTTGTCTGTACGAAACAAGCACCTTGTCTGTACGAAACAAGCACCTTGTCTGTACGAAACAAGCACCTTGTCTGTACGAAACAAGCACCTTGTCTGTACGAAACAAGCACCTTGTCTGTACGAAACAAGCACCTTGTCTGTACGAAACAAGCACCTTGTCTGTACGAAACAAGCACCTTGTCTGTACGAAACAAGCACCTTGTCTGTACGAAACAAGCACCTTGTCTGTACGAAACAAGCACCTTGTCTGTACGAAACAAGCACCTTGTCTGTACGAAACAAGCACCTTGTCTGTACGAAACAAGCACCTTGTCTGTACGAAACAAGCACCTTGTCTGTACGAAACAAGCACCTTGTCTGTACGAAACAAGCACCTTGTCTGTACGAAACAAGCACCTTGTCCATTGTTTATGCCTCACTACGAAGCAACTTGTGTAGGCCTCGTGCTAAGCATGAGGAGTGGTAAGCACCTCGAGCGGGCTGCATAGGGACTTTAACTTGCGTTCAATTAGAAGGATGGTTGTGTTGCTTGCCAGAACACCCCTTGCCACAGTTTCTGTATCCAAAAGGACCGTTGATTGCTTTGATTGATTTCTAGGATTGAAATAAAACCCATTGCTCAACGCCATACGGAGAGCAATGGCAACTCCATTGATTTGCGAATTCTAAAAACCAGCTTGTATCATTGTTTTGCCAACATTTGGAACGTATAACCCTCCCTCCTCCTTCATTCTCCTCCTTCATCCCGGGCTGCTGCTTTTCTTCGCCTGTCAGGCATGTAGATGGGAATCACCTAAATGGAACCATTTTGCCTTCTCTAGGAGCTTTAACCAACCTGCAAAACATGTAAGTATCATGGCAATTATTTCTGGATACCCCGACTATGATTGGCTGGCTCGTGGACAACATTGAAAGAACCGTTTGGCTAGTTGCACTATTTACTCAGCTCTGTTCTATTTCATTGATATTGTTGCATTGTCTGGGTCGTACAAATGCACAACTTTTCAATCACAACTTGTATTGAGCGGAATTTTTTTCCACTTTCCTTCCATCTCTTTCAACAGAATTTAAGATATGGAGGATAACCAGATTACTGGCTTTTCCAAATGACAAAAAAAAAAAACTCTGGGTCGGACTCAAAGGATCTCTTGGTTTGGTGAAGTAGGTTGACCCATTTTGTTCGAATAGAGCACTATTGTAGGAGAAAGAATAGCAGTAAATCAGTGACCTGCATTCGTTTGGATGGTACCGGTAATGTTCTTGGAATGTTTGTCTGTGGGTGAAGAACGATCTTCACATTCATCCGTCCCACCTCCCATTCGCCTTCCGTGTGTGCACCCACCCGCAAGCTCCTTCTCGCCTTTTCCCTTCTCCACTGCAGAATTTTTCCAATTTCATGCTTTTTGCCTTTCTCCCTCCTTATGTCCCACTTAGCCCCACCACTGTTCCCATTTTTATGCCAACTTTAAACGTCAAGGTCCGTGCAGTGTGGCTGTGTGTGCCCATGAGTTCCGCCCTTTGATCTCCCCTCTTTCCATTGCAGCGATGTCACTGGCACAAACCTCACGTGCCCACTCGACAACACCGACTGTGGCACACCACAGGATCCGACCACAGCCTTTTGCCACACGTGTAAATCCTTTTGCAAGACTTGCGGCAAACCTGCAGGCAAGTGATTGAAACAAAGTTGTACCAGAATAGTACAATGTTGATGTAAATATTCACAGGGCAAGCAAGGCATGACACAAGGCAAGTCTAACCACGGACAGCACCTCTCTTGCCTTGGAGAACCGAAGGCATGTGTTGAGTCATGGTACGTTGTGCAGGATCGTTTGAGGCGCGTCACAATTCATGATACGGGCTCTTGTATTGCTCCGTTGCAAGTGATCCACCACCTTTCTGATCCTTCCCTTTGCAAATTGACTGCTTGGCTGACTAGAATACTGCTCCTTTGCACTGTCCTGAAACTAAAGAGTCGAATTAAAAGTCATTTGCTTTGCTTTTGGTCTGAACACTGCTCCACCTCGCTTTTTTTTGCTAGTAAGGAAGTTCTTGTGATCCTGACAGGTTGGTTATATTCTATACTTGTGCAGTCCCGATTACAAAGAACAGCAGCAGCAGCAGCAGCAGCAACAGCACCAGCAGCAGCACGAGCAGTAGCAGCAGCAGCAGCAGCAGCAGCAGCAACGGCAGCGAGTCTACTTCACCAGCAGCATCTGGAGGTGGAAATGGGCTGTCAATGGGAGTCATCATTGGCATTGCTGTTGCTGCTGTGGTCATTCTCCTACTTTTGGGAACCACTCTGCTCTACTTGAGGCACCACAAGCACCAGCAGCAGCAGAAGCCAAAAGGTAGGGAGTTGAGAGAGGAGTGTGTCTTGAATCAGCAGCAGAGTCGGCAGGAAGCCGACTCAACGACACCCGACTTTACTCGTTCTCAACTCTGCATGTACCTCCTTTCACCCCATGAGTGGCAACTTGAGCAGGCCTGGGGGGCAGCCTGGCAGCCTCTCATTGCACCGAGTTCTTGCTGGAAGAGGTCCTCACGGCCACCAATGACTGGTCCCAGGACCACCAGCTCGGCTCGGGTGCATTTGGCGATGTGTACAAGGGCTTGTCTCCCCGTGATGGCACCACTGTGTGGGCTGTGAAGCGCGCTAAGCTCATAGACGTAGACTTCCAGAAGGAGGTCAGTGAGGCACTTTCGAAATGGCTTTTCTTTGAGGCACTTTTGGGAGATTATTCTCTTTGAGTAGCTCTTGAGATTTCCTTTTTTTAGTAACCTTTGAGAATTCTCGTTTGAGTAACTTTTGAGAATTCTCAAGCTCATAGTCAGAGGCGTCGGCTTCCAGAAGGAGGTCAGTGAGCCATGCTGACATGCAGCTTGGTGACGCCGTGAAGGATGCCATTGTGGTATAGGGATGGCATTTGAGGCGCCTCAAAAGTCACGCAGCTTGGTGTCGCCATAAAAAATGCCATTTGTCATCGCCTTGCATGGTGTCTTCTGCCATTCTAGTTATTAATTATTTTGTCCTTCCGAAATTCCCTTCTTTTCGATGTGAAGTCTTACCTCACGAGCTTTTGCAGGCATGAGCAAAAATACTTAAAATTCCTCCAATTGTGGACCCGTCTTGACTATTTCTTGCGTGCTCCACTTCTCAATCCGCCCCTTCTCTGCTGCTCACGTTTTCTTCTATGAAATTCAGATCAAGCAAATGGCTGACAAGAACCACCCCAACATTGTGAGGCTTCTTGGCTTTGCAATCGGAGGAGACCTAAGGACTCGGCCAGAGCAAGTTCTCATCTATGAATACGTGCCCAATGGCGACCTTCACAAATGGATTGATCCCAGTATGTGCGGCACTCCCTCAGTGTTTATTCCGTTGTGACACTCGTATATTGTGTCGTTCACATGCTCTGTCCCCTGTATTCTTTACCACTCACGCTGTCACTCACACGCGCTGTCACTCACATGCGCTGTCACTCACACACGCTGTCACTCACACGTTCTGTCACTCACACGCGCTGTCACTCACACACGCTGTCACTCACACGCTCTGTCACTCACACGCTCTGCCACTCACACGCTGTCACTCACACGCTCTGTCACTTACACACTCTGTCACTCACACGCTCTGTCACTCACACGCGCTGTCACTCACACGCTCTGTCACTCATACGCGTTGTCACTCACACGCGCTGTCAGTCACACGCTCTGTCACTCACACGCTCTGCCACTCACACGCTCTGTCACTCACACGTTCTGTCACTCACACGCGCTGTCACTCGCACGCGCTGTCACTCACACGCGCTGTCACTCATACGCGCTGTCACTCATTTGCCCTGCCACTCATGCTGTCCTGTGTATCCTTGCAGAGGCAGAGCACCCTTTAACTCTGAAGCAGCGGCTGGACATTCTCATCGGCATGGCACGGGGCTTCGAGTACCTCCATGGCTTTGGCATCGTGCATCGCGACATCAAGCCTGCCAACGTCCTCATCACCGACACCATGCAGGCAAGCTTTGTGAAGTTTCTTGTTCCTTGCAACTCTACACCATATATTGAGCCTCCATTTATTGAAACTCACCAACACATCCTTTCACTTTCCAATTCAAGGTCTGTCAATTGTGGCATTTACTTCCTTCATACCCACAGTTGTCTCATGCCACAATGTCTGTCAACGCACCCACCAGGCCAAGATTGCAGACTTTGGGCTGGTGAGGATGGGAGAGGGCACGACTGTCGGTACGACTCGCATCATGGGCACACCGGGCTATGTGGATCCTGTCTACTCCCGAACGTCCAAGGCGACTGCAGCTAGCGATGTCTACAGGTGATCCATTTTGGGACGTGTCAAAGAATGTGGGCATGACTCGGATCATGGGCTATGTGGATCCTGTCTACTCCCGAACGTCGAAGGTGACTGCAGCCAGTGATGTGTACAGGTGAGGCAATGATGTGTACAGGTGAGGCAATGATGTGTACAGGTGAGGCAATGATGTGTACAGGTGAGGCAATGATGTGTACAGGTGAGGCAATGATGTGTACAGGTGAGGCAATGGTGTGTACAGGTGAGGCAATGATGTGTACAGGTGAGGCACGAGGCATCACAGACAAGGCCACACAAGGAGACGCAGAAATAGTTCGTAGAAGTTGATGCTGACTGATGAGACAAGACCTGATGGTTGTCTGGTCGTGTTCCTTGTGGGCGTGGTGGGTGTGATGGGTGTGATGGGTGTGATGGGTGTGATGGGTGTGATGGGTGTGGTGGGTGTGATGGGTGTGGTGGGTGTGATGGGTGTGATGGGTGTGATGGGTGTGGTGGGTGTGATGGGCATAGTACTGTGCATTCTGGACTCAGTCGGCCATGTGGTGACCTGTCAACATCTGAACCGCCAACATTTTATGCCTTTGAACACGTGTGCTGGTTTTTAGCTTTGAAGTTGACTTTTCATGCTGTACGACTTTTCGACCTTAAAAACAGTGCCTTTGAACATGTGTGTTGTTTTTCAGCTTCGGAGCTCTCATGCTGGTGGTCCTCGCCGAACAGGCCCATCTCTCAGAGTCTGCGGGTGATTTTTTAAGGCGCCTAATAAATTAACTTAATGGCTGAGCATTCTGTGCCTTTGAAAATGTGTTTTGTTTTTCAGCTTTGGAGTACTCATTTTGGTGGTGCTCACCGGACAGGCCCCTATTTCAGAGACTGCAGGCAAGAGCCAGCAGATCACCCCATGGGTAAGGATTTTCGGTGTTCTCAAAGGGATTTCCATATAACTCACCCCATGGTAAGGTATTCAGGCAAGTACTCACCATGTCCACCTTTCCACAATATGCCATTCACATTCTCAGAAGCAATCAAGGAAGTCAGACTTTTTGTTATACGTTTTGATGTGTCGACTCGTCAACTCCCCCCTCCCCGTTTGTGAGCTCTCTCATCCCATCCCCCTCCGTCTGTGATTTCTTCCTTCCAGGCATCTGAGTGCCTGTCCTCTGGTGAGCTGGGGAGCCTCAAGGACCCAAAACTGGATGCCCCTGCAGATGCGGTGCTGCGTGTAGCGCAGCTCGCCCTCTCCTGCACTGGGGAGCGCACTGCAGGGCGCCCAAGCATGGCACAAATTGCCAATGAGTTGCAGGCTATCCGGGACGAAGTGGTGGGGAAGGAGGAGCTGAGTGCGGCTGTCAAGGTGGATAATCAGGTTCAGGAGATGAAGGATGCTTTCGCGGGTATTGAGAGCCTCGACGCAGAAATCCAGATGATCGGGGACAGCTTTGCTGAAGGAAACCCGGTGTAAATCATAATGAGAGGAGAGCTCCAAGCAGCCCGCAATTGATGTTTTTTAGAAGCGTTTCTCCGATTGACTGTTGCTGAGTGTGGTGTGGATGATCAGTACTTTTGTTCGATTTGCTTTGGAGTGATTAGGTTCTGAACGGATTGCTTTGCATGTGAATGGTATATGGAGAGGATGATATGCTGTTGGAGGACAAGGATCAACAGCACAGCCCGCCTTGCTAAAGGTAGTAGTTAGCCTTTTGTTTTATGCTCTTAGGCTGATCAAAACACTTTTCTTGGTACCGTACAGTGTAGGTTTCCAACCTTTTCATCTATCTCAGAAACGTGTGAAGTTTACTCAGAATTCACGAGGTGTTTGATCGCCTGAAGGCCCTCCTATGTGAGATAGCGAGCGAAAATTGAGAGAACTACCGTACTCAACCTATCATGGAGGGTACATGTAGAGCTGCCTCACAGTTGACAACCCTCTTGTGGTGGCATGTGCGTTGTTCTCAGCTGAATTTTGTTGAGCGGGTATGCTCACCACACAAACGTGCATTGTTATACGAGGGTAGTACCACTTATGATCCCTTTCTTGCTGGTAGCAACATCCAGTAACGAATGGAAGTGAGGACAGGACACCCAGAAACAGGTTCCCATGCTCTCGTGCTTGTTATTTCTGGTGAAGTATTTCCCTGGTCTAAGTAGCATGCTGCTGGCCAGCTGAGATGCAATATTGGTTAAAGGATCCAGTGGACGCAAAAACCCTCAGATAAAGCCTGGCCAAGCCATTGGAGGGAGGGGGGGGGAGGCAGAAAGGAAGAGAGGGACGGAGTGGTGGGAGTAGGGATGATTACAAGAAAGGTCTGCTCAAGGAGGTTTGGTCAGTGGAAGAGGACTATAAAGAAAGAGGGAGAGCATATTCAAAAGCACAAACTTGTAAACATGGCAAAATGTCACAAGGAAGAAAGTTGGTGGATGAAGAAAATCAGGTGGAAAGGTGATGCAGAGTCAGGTCAATGGACAACTGTTTGCAGTGAGAAGCATGATCTACCTTGCCATTACCACACCACTGGTGTGCACAAAGCGGTGCAGCAAGGCGGGTAAGAGTACAGGACAGGACCAAATGTCACATTGTACTTTGGCTTGTGTGTGGCCCTGCACGTGTGGTCCTGCACGTGTGGTCCTGCACGTGTGGTCCTGCACGTGTGGTCCTGCATGTGTGGCCCTGCATGTGTGGCCCTGCATGTGTGGCCCTGCATGTGTGGCCCTGCATGTGTGGCCCTGCATGTGTGGCCCTGCATTGTACTTTGGCTTGTGTGTGGCCCCGCCAATACACAGTGAGTGCATGTGTGGTCGCAAGTGAGTTTTGAGAATTTTCAAAACTCACGTGTGTGGTGTAGTGCTAGTGGGTGGAACTCACCCCCTATGCTGCTGCTGTTGTTGCGGCTGGTGCTTTTGTTGCTGCTGTTGCTGTTGATACTTATGCTCCTGCTGTGGCATAGTTGACTGTACGGCCATAGCACAAATGCTGCAGACCAAACGGGAGAGTGCATGCACAGGTAAATGTGCCGACGTTTCAATCAGGCAAGAGAACATAGTATCCACAGTGTTTAGAAGAAAAATGTTTAGGTATTAGAATAACGTAACCGTCAGGTCAGGGTGTGTTCCATGCTACTGCGAAGCTTTACTCCCCTCGGCTTATGAGTCGACTCAAAAGTCACCTCGGCTTACGGCATGGAACGAGCCGTGACCACGCTGACGTGAAGCTTCTGCAGCTGGGATGATGTGGAGCATTGGAAAGCGCCAACAACTTGATGCCAAAGAATGTTGACATTAGTTAACATGGTGCACAGTCACACTCCCCCCACCCCCGTTCCCAACATTCCCAACATACTATGATCATGCTTGATTACCTCTGTTTGCTTTCCCTCCTAACACTCACCTCTCTTCCCCCGCTACAGTCACATGGTGCACAGTCACCTCGCTGTGCCTCCTGCTTTCCCTCCTACCACTGACCTTTCTTCCCCTGCTACAGTCACATGGTGCACAGTCACATCGCTGTGCCTCCTACCAGCAGACCCCCCAGCAGGGTCAGACGAAGATGAAGGAGAAGAGGAGGAGGCGGAGGAAGAGGAGGAACATGCGTGTGAGTGAGAGGAGTGAGAGGAGGGAGAGGAGGGAAAGGAGTGAGGGGAGGCGTAAGAGGAGGTTGAGAGGGGGAGGTGAAAGATATGGGCGGTGCCGGTGCTGCTGGTGAGAGCAAGAGAGAGAGGGAGAGAGCCCGGCGGGGAGAAGCAAAGAGAAAAGATAGAAGCAGGGTAGGCGCCTCTTTTGAAAGAGAAGAGCTGGTGACAGGAGTGGGAAGGGGTGGGAAGGGGTGGGAAGGGGTGGGAAGGGGTGAGAAGGGTCATGAGGCAGGAGTGAAACCGGTAGAAGGGAGAGGGGTTGATGGGCGAGGGGGAAAGGTAGAGAAGAATGGGATCCGGTATGTAATTTTGAGGTGCCTTAAAGGAATGGGATCTCATTTTTCAGAGGGGTTCAATGAAGTCAGCAGTGATGTACTGAAGATGAAAAAGGCAACAATGGTGGGGACAAGCTTGTGAAAGGCAGTTTCTGATGAGAGGGGTGGGAGGGGCAGAAGGGGTGTAAGAGATTGAGGGTGGGAGGGGCAGAAGGGGCGAAGAGTGCGAGGCGTGGGAGGGTTTGGGGTCGGAGGTGTGGAAGAGTGGGAGGGGTGGGATGGGAGGGAGGGGTGGAAGGGTGGGTGGGTGAGAGGGGAGGAGAGAAGGCGAGAGCACCTACCATTGAAAGCGAGCAAGAGAAAGCCATATTTCTCTCACTTGCCCTTACTCCACCTGCCTGTCCGGATGCAGTGCAACCAATTGATTGTACCCTTGCAGATCCATCCATATCTGGGCCAGATTCAATGAACACAGAAAAAACGCCTGTCCCACTCTCCCTTAACCCCGCCTTGCTGCTTGTCCAGATGCAGTGCACCCAAACGTCTGTCTCAGGTTCAATGAACACAGAAAGCAGAGGTCCTGTCCTCACCCCCCCACCTTGTTGCCTGTCCGGATGCAGTGAACCCGAATCACAGTGCCCTTGGTTGATGCTGACGCCAGCAGCTCCCTCCCCCCTCCTCCCTCCTCATTCCCCACTTTTCCCCCTTCTCCCCCCTCCCCATCCTCCCCTCCTCCCCCCTCCCCGTCCCCTTGCGAATCTGGCTCATTTAGCCGAAAAGGAGATGGGAGGGTTGGGAGCAGGGAGGTAATTTCAACGGCTGCGATCGGCCCATCGTGAGCCTTGATCTGCGGAAGGGGGAGGGAGAAAGGGCAGGCAGGGAAGGGAATGTGGGAGATGGAGTGTGACTTGGAGGCACATGTGTGAGCAATGGCTGCAATCATCCCGCCGCGAGCCTTGATATGAGAAGGGTCGGAAAAAGGAGGAAAGGAAAGGGAAAAGAAAATGGAACATTCATTTCAGCCTTCCTTCTGAAAAAGCATAGAATCACATAAATCCTTTCTCGACACTTCTTTTCCATGCAACAGCAATGCCTCGGCTCACAAGTGCTCTATCGCACATTACTTCAACCGTTCCCTATTTTTTTCCTCCTCTTTGGATCATAAGACCAAAAAGCAGCAGCAGGTGCAGAAGCGGAAGTTGGAACGGCAGCAGCAGCAGCCAACTCACCTGGCCAAAGGCTTGGAGGGAAATGAGGTCCACAATGAGCAGAGAGCCCTGATCAGATGAGGTGGAGGAGGAGGGGGAGGCGGGGGAGGAGAGGGACAGAGGCAGGGAGAGGAGAGAGGGGCGAGGAGCAGCAGCAGGGACGGCGCAGAAGCAGGAAGAGGAGGGGGAGAGGGGGCGAGGGGAGAGCGGGCTCAGGGCACAGATTCCTGGGAGGGGAGACCGGAAGGGGGGGATGGGAGGGGGTACAGCACAGGGGAACATGGCTTATGGGAGCATGGCACATGCAAATAGGAAAGGGAGAGGGGGCGAGTAGAGAGAGCGGGCTCAGGGCACAGATGCCTGAGAGGGAAACCAAAAGGGGAGCACGTATGGCAAGGGGGGAATGAAATATGGGGAGGGGAGAGCGGGTTCAGGGCACAGATGCCTGGGAGGAAAAGGGGAGGGCAAGGAGGGAATGGGGAGACGGGAGAGAGGGGAGAGAAGAATGGCAGGGGGGAGAAATGCAAGGGGGACATAAGATCAGGAAACTGGCACGAGGGCTCAGGGCACAGACTGTTGAGGAGAATGAAAGGGGAGAGTTGCAGAGGGAATACTGCTTGCGACAAGAAGTCTGGCTTTTATGCATCAAAAAAATTATTTGGTTAATATGACTGTGGAGCGTCAAGAAGTAAAATCAACCTTTTTTGCAAGCAGCCAGCGTTGGAGTAACTGTGGTTGTTGTTCATTCATGTGGGGCGGGGACTCACCATTGGGGTTTGGGGCGACTGTGAGGGAGAGAAGAAGAGGGAAGCGGGCAGGGCAACAACACCCTGAGGAGGGCGTGTGAGTGCAACGTTGTGATACTTGTGCTGGCTGTTCATATCACAAACACCCACCATTGGGGTTTGGAGCGACTGTGAGGGAGAGCAGCAGAGGGAAGCCGACAGCAACACCCTGAGGAGGGCGTGTGAGTGCAACGTTGTGATACTTGTGCTGGCTGTTCATATCACAAACACCCACCATTGGGGTTTGGAGCGACTGTGAGGGAGAGCAGCAGAGGGAAGCCGACAGCAACACCCTGAGGAGGGCGTGTGAGTGCAACGTTGTGATACTTGTGCTGGCTGTTCATATCACAAGCACTCACCATTGGGGTTCGGGGCGACTGTGAGGGAGAGCAGCAGAGGGAAGCCGGCAACAATACCCTGAGGAGGGCGTGTGAGTGCAACGTTGTGATACTTGTGCTGGCTGTTCATATCACAAGCACTCACCATTGGGGTTCGGGGCGACTGTGAGGGAGAGCAGCAGAGGGAAGCCGGCAGCAACACCCTGAGGAGGGCGTGTGAGTGCAACGTTGTGATACTTTGTGCTTGCTGTTCATATCACAAGCACTCACCATTGGGGTTCGGGGCGACTGTGAGGGAGAGCAGCAGAGGACGGGAAGCCGGCAGCAACACCCTGGGGAGTGACGTCATGCACTGATAGCCTTGACTCGAGCAGGACCAGTAGCCTGCAGTACAGGCACGCACATGATTCGAGGGGCCCAGAACAGTAGAACAGAACAGTAGAACAGAACAGTAGAACAGAACAGTAGAACAGAACAGTAGAACAGAACAGTAGAACAGAACAGTAGAACAGAACAGTAGAACAGAACAGTAGAACAGAACAGTAGAACAGAACAGTAGAACAGAACAGTAGAACAGAACAGTAGAACAGAACAGTAGAACAGAACAGTAGAACAGAACAGTAGAACAGAACAGTAGAACAGAACAGTAGAACAGAACAGTAGAACAGAACAGTAGAGCAACAGACAGTAGCAGAGACGAGCGAGAGAGTGGGGAGCAGCAGAGACATGCAGTGATAGCCTTGATTCGAGGAGGCCTAGTTTGGTTGGAGGAACAGAGAAAACAGCACCATAGAGCAGAGGCGAGAGGGATAAGACAGAGAGCGAGGGTGACGACAGAGAGAGGAGGGACGCCGGCAGCAACACCCTGAGGAGTTACGTCGTGCAGTGACTTGCTGGATTCGAGGAGGACTAGCAGCCTTCAGTACAGGGGCACGCAACACGAGAGCGGGTAGCAGGGTAGCTTTTTAGTGGTGATGCGCGTGGCAGTGATGCGCGTGGCAGTGGTGAGGGGTGTGAGAAGAGAATAACTTGTTTTGAGACATCTCAAAATGGGGGTGAGATTTAACTTCCTTTAATGGGCTAAAAGCTCACCTGGAGTGGTTGAGGCGAATGGCAGTGATGATGGTGAGAAAGGAGAGGGTACCGAGGGGGGTGAGAGAGGAGGGATGGGCGATGGAAGCCAGGCGCACCTCTCGAGGCGACAAATGTGGCTGGAGGAGGGTGGGGGACAGGGGATGGGGAATGACAGATGGAAAAGGGATATGGCAGGGTGGGATGGAGGGATGGAGGAATGACGAAACCGCCATGCAATGACACAGCTTGTAGGGAAGGATGGGAACGAGCACTACCGTGTCTCCCGTGCCAACAAATGCAACCAACGGCGGCGCGCCTTGTGGCGCGATGAGAGTGAGCTCCACGATCTTTATCGGGCCCATGCCCAGGTGGCTCACGTAGGGCTGCGCCACGTCAGCACAGCGGAATATTTTGAAACCTGCTGACGTGGCCACTGCCACGTGCCTGCACCCAAAAATGAAAAATTACGGCAAAAGGGAGTTGGACGGATATGGGGAGGGTGGAGAGGGGCAAGGAAGAAGAGCAAATTGGCGAATGCGAGTTGAGGATACCACTTAGTTTTTGAGAATTTTCAAAAACCAGCTCGGATACCACTTAGGGGGCAGAAAGGGAGTGCGAAGTTGGGAGATAGGATAGGACTTCTAGTAGCTTTTTTTGAGGCGCCTCAAAAATCTTCTAGTAGCATGGACGGAAGGTGAGCGAAGGGGTTTTGTGAGTGAGGACTCCTCGGAGGACTGCAGAGATCGTAGAGTCGTGCCTTTGCATGCTCTACCTGCCATCAGCCGTGAACGCAGCATAGCAAATCTCCTCTAATGCGTATTCCCCTCCCCTATCACTTTCAGCTAATTCTGTCCGCTTAGCGCCACGGCTGTTCGTAAACGCCCGACCCATCCAGCGGCGCGGATCAATCCTTGGAATCAGGCGGCATCATCCAACGGTGCGGATGGACTTTTGGAATCAGGCAGCGCAATCCAGCGGTGGCATCGCATACGTGTAGCGTCGCACACAAGCGTCGCTAATGGGTTGGGACGCCGCGCGGATAGCGTCGCACGCAGATAGCGACGCGCGCAGAGTAGCGACGTGCGCAGAGAGCGTCGCACGCAGATAGCGACGCGCGCAGATAACGACGCACGCAGATAGCGACGCGAGAAGATAGCGAGGCGCGCAGATAGTGTGGCACGCGGATAAAGAAGCCGGGACTTGCGAGTCGCCCAACCGGCTTTCCAAATGTCAGTCTGCACACAGAGCCTACTAGGACCGGAGTCTGTGTATAGCGCCTCGATTAGACCAGCATTAGGTTATTTTTCTGGAGCTTCTGAATGTTAGTTCTTGCAACTCGTGCTGGTTGCTCAGCCCATGCTTAGTTTCCAATAGTTTTGAACGGATATCCTCGGTACTAGCAGTACAAAGAAATTTGAAGGTTGAGATTTTTTTCTTCAATGGAATGCGCTACATAAAAGGATTGAAGCAATATCAGCAGCTATCAACTCACAATGGCCTACAGGATTCGCTAATTGCAATGTAACCCCCCTCGCAATATATTTGTTTTTCTACAGGAGCGTCAGCCTACAACCCTTACACCTACCTCAAATCGTGTGACTAAGCCATGTTTGATTGAGGTAAAATCTGTCATTGCATCTTCTGTAAAAGCATGTGCACATCTGAAGCAAGAGCATAATTCTCATTGCTCCTTCTCCTGGGGAAAGGAGTAAGGGAGGAAAGGAAAGAGAAAAAGTAGGAAAATGAGAAGACTCCAACTGGCTGCAGCAATTCAAACGATATGGTTGTGCAGCAAGGACCTTCACCGCAGCCTGTTTATTGGAGGCCAGAAAAAGAGAAACGGCAAAGGAGTAGTACAGCACGAGTACACTTGCCCAACACATTGCATAGTGACGGGAGGGGAGAAGATGAGTAGATGAGATGAGGTAGGGAGTTGGGGGGTGCACCTGAGGATGGGGTGGAGTTGATCTACAAGCACTCTGAAGCTCCCGTAGCAATCATTGCATTGTGAAGGTAGGGGAAGAGAGTCTAGGGGAGAAGAAGCTGAGGAGAGGAGGAAAGGAGGAAGCTGCACCTGAGGATGGGGTGGAGCTGATCTTCGAGCACCCTGAAGCCCTCGTAGCAATCATTACAGCGCTGCAACCTGCCGTGATTCACATGTTGTGATTCCACATGCCATCACATGCCAGCCCACGCCATGCCATGCCATGCCATCACATGCCATACGAGTTAGTACAATATTGAAGGCGAGAAAACACAGGGATTAGTACCAACGCCGATTAAACAAGACGAACACCAGGGGACACTCAGAATCGTCCACTGCACCCCATCATCCCGATATCTCATCCCTTCTCCGCTTACCCCCCAATCTCCCCCTCGTGCTCACCTCTCTTCCATATTGAGGTCTATCCCACAGGAGTGTGTGTCGGTGCGAGCAGCAGTGATGGGCTCACTGAACGCCCTCACCAGCTCACTCGCACGCCCATCTGCCTTGAGCGTCAGCTTCGTTGCCTCATTCAACCTCCCTTGTTCTCCCCTCCCTCCCTTATTCTCACCTCTCCTCCATGTGCAGGTCCACCCCAGGGGAGTGAGTGGCCGTGCGAGCAGCAGTGATGGGCTCGCTGAACGCCCTCAGCAGCTCACCCGCACGCCCAACCCCCCTGAGCACCCACTTCATTGCTTCATTCAACCTCCCTTCCTCTCACTGCCCTCCCTTATTTCTCACCTCTCTTCCATGTGCAGGTCTACGCCAGGGGAATGCGTGGCGGTGCGAGCAGCAGTGATGGGCTCACTGAACGCCCTCAGCAGCTTGCTTGCGCACACATGTGCTTAACAACCTTTCATCACCCCCTCCCTCTTACATTCCTCCCTCCTTCTCACCTCTCCTCCATATGAAGGTCCACTCCAGGAGAATGTGTGGCCGTGCGAGCAGCAGTGATGGGCTCACTGAACGCCCTCAGCAGCTCGCGCAGCAGTGACAGCGCCACTCCTACGTACCTGTGAAGGGGGGGGGGAAGGGAGGGAGGAAGGGAGGGGGTGGGGAAGGGGGAGGACGAAAGGGGGGTTGGATTTGACACTCAGCAGCTCCAGCAGCAGTGACAGCGCCACTCCCATGTACCTGAAGGGTGGTGGGGGGGGGGGGGGGGGGGGGGGGGGGTTGAGGAAGGGAAGGAAGAGGGGGGAGCGATGGGCTCAATGAAGGCCCTCAGCAGCTCACACAACAGGGTAGGGTGACGAGGAGGGAGAAGAGTGGATTTGAATAGAGGGGAAAGTCAGACTCTGCACTTTGCTTGCATTCAATACTTGCACCTTGCTTGCAGCAGAGACAGTGGCATCCTAACAAAGCAAGGCGCCCTTGAGCTCGTGACAGCATCGCTTAGCAGTACCCACGAATCTATCCAACAGAGCCACTCAGCACCACTTAGCACCACATATCAATGCACAGCACTGCACAGGACCACTCACTTGGAGTGGCTACTGGCGAGCAGAGCCCTCAGCAGCGGCTGCAACTGCAAGGCTCCTTCCATTCCCACTGATGCCAGCCGCCTGCCTCCCTGCATGGCCAGCACCTCCAATACATCCGCCACCACCTGAGGCACACGGGGGATCACGAGTGAAGGGAGAAAGGGAATGAAAGCAGGGAGGGAGGTGAGGGGCGCCCTCAGCAGAGAGCCTCCCTTGCACGTGGTTGCAGCACGTGCTGCCACGTGGTTCCAGCATGTGCTGCCACGTGGTTCCAGCATGTGCTGCCACGTGGTTCCAGCATGTGCTGCCACGTCGTTGCAACATGTGCTGCATGCATGGCTGTCTGCTCTCTGCCTTACATCCTTGACAACATCTCGTGCACTTAGAACCACAGCAGTCAGCAGCCCCTGCAGAGAAAGGCACTTGCAATGCACTCACAGCAAGGTCTTTCGACGCTGCGAGGGCGGAGAGGGCGGGCAGCAGTTCGCCATCCACCCACAGCGCTGCCACGTGCCGCACTGCAGAGAGCCGCCCCTGCAGCATGTGAAGCATGGCAGTGTGCCGCCCGTTCACACTCTCCATCACCACCATCTCATCGTCCTCCTCCCCCTCTTCCTCCTGCTGCTGCTTCCGCTGCTTGGATGGCAGTGAGGGCTGGGAAACAGAGGAAGGGAAACGAGATGCGGTGGGGCAAGGGTAAATACATCGTTCACTGCAGCATGTGCTCAATGGCAGTGTGCCGCCCGTTCAAACTCTCCATCACCACCATCTCATCTCCCTCCTCCTCTTGCTGCTTCTGCTACTTCAATCGTAAAGAGGGCTGTGTGGAGGGGAAGGGAGGGTTGGAAAGAGAAAGTGGATTTGGGGAAGGCAACTGTGAGTGGGTTGGTCCATGTGGCATGTTCTACATGTGCGTACACCCCCTCCCTGTCCTCTTCACTCCCCACCTAAGCTCTCCTCGTCCCCTCCTCCGAACTGTGCAAATAACAACCCTGTTGTTTCCTTAACCTCCCTCTCCTCTCCTCTCCCCGCCTTCTCTCCACTCGTCCTCTCGCCTCTCACCTGTGCGAATTCGTCCACATTCACTTTCATAGACCACTGCAGAACGCTCCCTGCTGCTGTCCTTGCTGCCCCTGCTGCTCCTCCTGCTGCTGCAGAACGCTCGGCACCAGCATTCCGTTGTTGTGCTGGTACCGCCACTGATGCTCTGCCTTGCACCGGTGACACTTGTGGCACGTTCACCTGTGATGATTGCACCTGTGCTCCCTGCGAGCGTGGGGAGAGAGGAGACAAGCCAATGCCTCTGCCAGCCCTCCTGCTTCCAACCCCTCCCATCGCACCACCTGGTATCAAATCCCCCGCCCCGCCTGCCCCTCCTGCTCCTCCCCCCACTCCCTCTCCTCCCATACCTCCTTCTGCTCCCACGCCCCTGTCTGCCCCTGCTTCTGCCCTACGAGACAACGAGGAGGAGGGAGGAGGAGAGGAGGCGAAGGGAGAGGAGGAAGACGAGGAAGCCAGCACTGCTGACTCAAATGCACCGCCATACTCTCTACAAGCATCCTCTCTAACAGCTCCTGCCGAAAACGACGCAGAAGCAGATGCAGAAACCACCAAGCCAATGCCCCTATCCTCGCACTCCCTCACCCTCTCTCCAACAGACCCATGCCTCCTCATTCTGTCACTTCGCACATCACCATCACCTCGCTCATCCCCATCAGCCCCGCCCCCAGTCCCTCCTCCCTCCTCCTCCACTGCATACGGCGGGTGCAGAACAGACGGCCGTGTCTTGTACTTGTCTTCCTCACTCCGGCTCCATTCCAGGGCTGCCGAATGCCCCTCCTTCCCTGCCTCCTCATCTCCCTCCTCTCGTTCCCTCTCCTCCCCATCCACAGCATATGGAGCTCGAAGCCTTGGCACCGATGCCTTAAAGCGCCCAGCCACGCTGCTACCCACAGGCCCGTTACTCGCAGCAGCACCATCGCTAACAACAGCAACACCATTGCTCTTCCTCCCCCCACCTTGACTCTCACCCTCTCCCTCCTCGTCCTCACTCCACCCACTGATCTGCCCCGATCCTACTATCTGCACCCCTGCCCCTCTCCCCTCCCCACTCCCCTCACTCCCCTCACTCCCCTCACTCCCCCTCTCCCCGCTCCCCACTCTCCCCCCTTCTCTTCTCCCCTCCTCCTCACTCCCAACCCCATTCCCATTCCCGCCCGCCTCCCCTCTCTCTCCGCCATACCCCACCGCCCTCCTGCCCCCTCCTCCCCCTCCTCCCCCTCCCAAGCTCTCCTCCAGGCCAGAGAAAGACCCGATCCAGTCAGACACCTTATTCATCGCCTCTACCACTGTGGCCGCCCTGCTGCCCGCGCCCCCTCCTGCAGTCGCCACCGCTTTACCCCAGTCAAACGTCACGCCGAAGCCAGTCATCCCTCCCAGAATACCACCTGCACAAGATGCACCTGCATGAGTGCTTGAAGCAGGTGTGCCTGCAGCCTTGGCTGTCGATACTTCTGGAGCAGTCGAGCAGGAGGCATCTGCGTTCTCACTGACTGCTGTCACTTTTGGGACAGTCGAGTCAGAGGCATCTGCCACTGCATATGCGTGATTGCCCTCGCTGCCACTGCTGCCTGCAGCAGCAGCAGTGGCATTGCCTTGACCATGGGACAGCGAGGAGGGAAGCGAGGAGGGGTGGTGCTGATCGTGTGACCCAAGCATCGGATTCCTGAACCCTGTTACCGCTGCTGCTGCCTCTTCCGTCCCTGCAGGTGCTGCCACAGGACTCACGCCATCATGTCGCACAGAAGGACACACAGTAGCAGCAGCATCACCCGGCACCCCTCCAGCGTCCAGAAACTCCTGAATCTTGCGAGACTGGTGACGAGCAGCCTCGGAACCATCCAACCTCTCATCACCATCATCCCCATCCCCCACTCCATGCTGTGCAGAGCGTGAAACCACAGCATAAGACACCCCTCCAGCGTCCAGAAACTCCTGAATCTTATGGGACTGCTGAGCACCTGCCTCAAAACCATCCCACCTCTCATCATCCCCCACTCCATGCCGAGCAGAGCGTGAAACCACAGCATAAGACACCCCTCCAGCGTTAAACCAGAAACTCTTGAATCTTATGCGACCCAGAGGGGGATTCTCTAGGAATCTTATGAGACGTCTCAAAAGGGTTCCCCGAACGCAGCCCATGTGTCTCCTCCCTGGCTCCCTTGTCAAAGCCCCCCTCCCCTCTCCTGGCAGAGGAAGAGGAATCTTCGCCTCTGGAGATTCCATAACCACCTGATACGGACGCTCTTCGCCCTCCCCTTGCCCCCACTCCTTTAAAACTCCCCCCTGCTGCCCCTCCCACCCCTCCCATCCCTCCTGCCCCACCTCCTCCCACTCCCCCTCCTCCGCCTCCTCCTCTCCCACCTCCTCCCCCTCCGCCTCCCCCTGGCGCTCCGGTCCTTACCTCCTTACCACTCACTGACCCAACACCTCTACCCCACTGCTCCCCCACCCCTCCCACAGAAACCCTCCTACCTCTCCCCCCACCACTCCCCACCCCAGCACTCTCCCCTCCCCCACCCCCCGTTCCTGCCCCCACCCCGCCCGCGCCCCCACGAAACCCGAACCTGCCCGAACCTGTCTTGGGGTCCTGGCCTGACTTTTGAGTCGACTCAGCATGTGCCTTGTGACTCTGAGCTGCTGTGCTCTCGCCTTTTATGGGGGACACCTGCCGAGTGCGGTGGATGGATGCTGCTGTGGGCGACTGGTGCTGCTGCTGCTGCTGCTGCTGGTGATGCTGCTGCTGGTGATGCTGCTGCTGGTGATGCTGCTGGTGCTGGTGATGCTGGTGGGGTGAGCGATTGGCAGAGTTACCTGGAGGAGTGGTGGGGAGAAGAAAGGCGGGAGGGGCGAGGTTAGACACAGGAGGGTTAGGTGAGTACTGTTCTCGCTGTTAACAGGGGAGAGCAGTGTTCTCGCCGTTGATAGGAGCGAAGAATGGCACATTGGGACACAGGAGGGTTAGGTGACCAGTGTTGTATCGCTGTTAACAGGGGAAAGCACAGTTCTCGCCCTTGATGGGGGAGTTCTGCTGAGTGCGGTGGATGGAGGCTGCTGTGGGGGACTGGTGGTTCTTCTGCTGCTGGCGCTGCTGCTGGCGGGGTTGGTGTGGTGGTGGTGATGCTGGCTGTGCTGGGGTGAGGGGGAAGGGACGGGGCCCACCTTGTTAGCATGGTGCACGGGCGAAGACACAGAGGACACAGTGGAGGAAATAGTGGAGGCTGTGGGTGAGTGGGCGAGGCAAACAAGGGTGAGGCAAACAATGGGTGTAGGCCCACACTCAGACACCCGCCCTGGAAACACAGTGCGCGGGATGTAGCAGCAGAATGCACAGGCGTGGACTGGGAACAGTGGAGGAAACGGTGGAGGTGGTGGGGGAGGCGGAGAGAGGCAGAGCCAAGTCACGGCACCCACGTTGAGGCAGGGAAGGGCAGACCCACCCACCTTGATGACACGGTGCACAAGAATGCACAGGTGTTGACACGGAGGAGACAGTAGAGGAGACGGTGGAGGTGGTGGGGGAGGCGGGCAGGGGCAGCCCCATGGTGGTGCCTGAGAGGCTCCTCTCCTCCTCCGTGCTCTCTGCGGCGCTAGATCCAAATGGTGCCACTTGCTGGAGGCGAGAACCGGGGAGAAACAGGGAGGAGAAGATGGGGTAGAGGCAGTGAGCGAGGCGGGCAGGGGCAGGCCCAAGGTGGTGCCTGAGAGGCTCCGCTCCTCCTCCGTGCTCTCCGAGGCGCTAGATCCAAACGGCGCCACCCGCTGGAAGACACAGAGTGGGGGGGGAGTGGGGGGTTGGTTTGAAGGTCATAGAGCTTCCGAAAAAGAAAGACACATGCTATATGGGGAAACGTTGTACCATGCGCTATACACAGACTGACAGTAAGCATGCCATGCCATACCATGAGATCCACATGCCACAGGCTGATGCAGGTGTGCGAGAAGGAGGCGAGCATAAGATAAGGCTATCATGGGCAAATACACAGGCTGATATGAGGCACACCATACCATGAGGTCGACGTGCCACAGGCTGACGCAGGTGTGGGAGAAGGATGCGCCATACAGCCTGCCGTCGTGAATGCTGACGTCAGCTACCTTGGACCATCCCACACTGACCGTGTCGAAGCAGCGCACGGGCTCCCACCCCCACACCTGCGGATGGGAGGTGAAGTGGTATAGAGAGTGAAGGGAGGTGAAGAGGAGTGAAAAGAGGTGATGGGGAGTGAAGAGAGGTGAAGAGGATGGGATGAGAATGAGGCGTGTCTCTAGCCACCCTGGGACCATCCCACACTGACAGCGTCGAAACAGCACATGGGCTCCCATCCCCACACCTGCAAATGGGTTTGAAGAAACAGGGACAGTGAAGCCGGCTCGCCTCAAAAGAAGAATCAGGGATGGTGATGCCGGTTAATAGTTAAGACATCAACATGACTGAAACATGGAGTGGAGGAGGAGGGGGGGATTCTCCAAGAACCGTCAGCCACCCAATGCTGACCGTGTCAAAGCAGCACATTGGCGCGCCCCAGAAGTCTCACCTTGAGCGAATAAGCGGAGGAAGCTAGCAATGCTTGACCTGGCCATCAGGAGTGAAGGCTACTGAGCAAGAGCATGCCACTGGCCTGCAGTGGAAACAAGTCGTTTGAAGCAGCACTGAACTCACCTTGAGAGAGTCGGCAGAGGGAGCACGCAACACAGAACCCACCTTGAGCGAGTCAGCAGAGGGAGCTAGCAATGCCTGGCCGTCAGGAGTGAAGGCCAGAGAGCGCATGCCACCGGCCTGCAATGGAGGCGGACAGTAGGAGACATATGTGGGGGCAAAATGCAGACACATGCACAGGGGGGCAGAGGGGCACACAAGGTCACACAGGGGCACGGACAGGATGAAGGGGAGCAGAGTGCAGACACATACACAGGGACAGGGGCACGGACAGGATGAAACAGGCCAGCAGGAGGATGAGGCTGTGCTGTTAGTGGAAGCTGTGATGTATGCACTTAAACCCGAAACCCTACACCATCCTGCTCTGCCTGCTCCTCCTTCCCTACCTCCACCCCTCTAACCCCACCTCCACACCTTTTCGCCTACCTCTGTGCCTGTGGACCTCACCAGCTCGAACGTCTCTAGGTCCCTGGAGCCTGGCACGTGTGCACACATGAGCACCCATCTCCACCGCTTGTTACCCTACCTCCGTGCCTGTAGACCCCACCAGCTCGAACGTCTCCAGGTCCCTGGGGCCTAGAACATGTGCACACATATACACACATGAGCACCCATCTCCACCCCTTGTTACCCTAACTCTGTCCCAGCACTTGCATGTGCGGTCACTGGAGCCTGGTGGATGCGCACACATGCACACACAGACTAACGCATCTCTGTGCCTGAGCACCCATCTCCACCCCTTGTTACTGTACCTCTGTGCCTGTTGACCCCATCCCACTAGCTCAAACGTCTCCAGGTCCCAGAATTTTCATGTGCGGTCACTGGAGTCACTGGAGCCTTGTGGAAGGATGGACACTAGCACACAAACGGACCCACCTCCACCCCTTGTTACCGTACCTCCGTGCCTGTGGACCCCACCAGCTCGAATGTCTCCAGGTCCCAGAACTTGCATGTGCGATCACTGGAGCCTGGTGTATGCGCACATAGGTAGGCACACAAGCACATAAGCACACATGCACGCATGTACACAAATGCACACACATTCGAACACCCACATGCGCACACACATGCACACATGTACACCATGCACACAAGTACACACATGCACACACATTCGAACACATGCGCATATGTACACACATGCACACACATTCAAACACATGCGCACATGTACACACATCCACACATGCACACACATCCAAACACATGCGCACATGTACACACATGCACACACATTCAAACACATGCGCACATGCACACACATTCGAACACATGCGCACATGCACAGGTCAAGTTGTGGTTCACTTGGATCAAGGGGGTGGGGCAAGGAAGCAGCATACGCACATGCCTCAGAACCAAGGGCTCGATCTGTTACCATGAGAGCATGGGAGGACAGGCACTGACAGGAGGGGAGGAGCGGCGCGTGCAGGTGGAAGGCGAGGCAGGCGACGGTTGGAGACGTGGCTCAGATAGTAAGGGAAAGATGGGGCAGCGCTCACAGCAGGCAAGAGAGAGAAAGCGGGCTCTCACAGGAGGCGAGAAGCAGCTAGGGCGGGTGGAAGGTGAGGCAGACGACGGTTGGAGACTTGGCTCAGATAGTAAGGGAAAGATGGGGCAGCGCTCACAGCAGGCAAGAGAGAGAAAGCGGGCTCTCACAGGAGGCGAGAAGCAGCTAGGGCGGGTGGAAGGTGAGGCAGACGACGGTTGGAGACTTGGCTCAGATAGTAAGGGAAAGATGGGGCAGCGCTCACAGCAGGCAAGAGAGAGAAAGCGGGCTCTCACAGGAGGCGAGAAGCAGCTAGGGCGGGTGGAAGGTGAGGCAGACGACGGTTGGAGACTTGGCTCAGATAGTAAGGGAAAGATGGGGCAGCGCTCACAGCAGGCAAGAGAGAGAAAACGGGCTCTCACAGGAGGCGAGGAGCAGCTAGGGCGGGTGGAAGGTGAGGCAGGTGACGGCTAGTGGAGGCCTAGATAGTAAGGGCAAGATAGGGCAGCAGTCACAGCAGGCACGAGAGAGAGAGAGAGAGCAGGGAGAGCGAGGGAGAGGGCGGGCAGCACTGACAGGAGGCGAGGAGCAGCTCATGCGGGTGGAAGGTGAGGCAGGTCACAGCGTCGTGGTGATGCTTGAACTCATGCAGCACCTTGCCCGCCTGCACGTCCCATAGCTGTGAGGGGGAGGGGGTGGGGGACGGCAAGAGGTGCAGGGGAGTCAGGAGGTGCAGGAGGTAAGGGCAAGGCAGGGGAGCTGCTTGAACTCGTGCAGCACCTTGCCCGCCTGCACGTCCCACAGCTGTGAGAGAGGGGGGGAACGGCAAGAGGTGCAGGGGAGGGAGGCAGGAGGTGCAGAGAAGTAGGTGACAGCGTCGTGGTGGTGCTTAAACTCATGCAGCACCTTGCCAGCCTGGACGTCCCATAGCTGCAGAAGGGAGGGAGGGGTAGGGTGATGGGGAAGGTGATGCGGCAGGTGACAGCATCATCGTGGTGGTGCTTCAACTCATGGAGCATCTTGCCGGCCTGGACGTCATATAGCTGCAGGAGAGAGGTGGGGGAGAGAGGGAAGGGTAGGGATAGGGCGAGCAGGATGGAGTCAGTCCTAGGGTGCCAACAAGTGCAGCACCTTCGCCATCAGCACCTTCTTCCTTTCCTCCCTCCTATCCCCCTCCTTTATCCCTCCTCCCTCCTTCCCCACTCAACCCCTCATACCTCACCTTGATCACCGAGTCCTGCCCGCCTGTCATCAGCCACTGCCCATCCGGGCTGAACCGCACACACGCCACGCCCTTGCCCTGCGTCTTCAGAGTATGCACTGCCTCCTTCTGCCTCGGGTCCCACACGCGGGCAGTGGAATCCAGCGAGCCAGATGCGAAGAACGGCTCGAAGGGGTGGAAGTCCAGCGAGAGGGCCGAACCCCTGTGACCTGTCAGGGTGCGCACAGCTAGTGGAGGTTGGGTGGGGGTAGGGGGAGGGAGGAGGTAAGGGGTTCTTCAGCATGTGCACTGCCTCCTTCTGCCTCGGGTCCCACACGCGGGCAGTGGAGTCCAGCGAGCCCGAAGCAAAGAACGGCTCAAAGGGGTGGAAGTCCAGCGAGAGGGCCGAACCCCTGTGGCCCGTCAGGGTGCGCATGGCTGGTGTGGTATAAGGAGAAGGGGGGGGTGACAGAGGGAGAGGTTGTTGGGGTGAATGCGGGCAGTGGAATCCAGCGAGCCCGAAGCAAAGAACGGCTCAAAGGGGTGGAAGTCCAGCGAGAGTGCCGAACCCCTGTGGCCCGTCAGGGTGCGCATGGCTGGTGTGGTATAAGGAGAAGGGGGGGGTGACAGAGGGAGAGGTTGTTGGGGTGAATGCGGGCAGTGGAATCCAGCGAGCCCGAAGCAAAGAACGGCTCAAAGGGGTGGAAGTCCAGCGAGAGGGCCGACCCCCTGTGGCCCGTCAGGGTGCGCATGGCTGGTGTGGTATAAGGAGAAGGGGGGGGTGACAGAGGGAGAGGTTGTTGGGGTGAAAGCGGGCAGTGGAATCCAGCGAGCCCGAAGCAAAGAACGGCTCAAAGGGGTGGAAGTCCAGCGAGAGGGCCGAACCCCTGTGGCCCGTCAGGGTGCGCATGGCTGGTGTGGTATAAGGAGAAGGGGGGGGTGACAGAGGGAGAGGTTGTTGGGGTGAATGCGGGCAGTGGAATCCTGGGAGCCCAGCGCAAAGAATGGCTCAAACGGGTGGAAGTCCAGCGAGAGGGCCGACCCCCTGTGGCCCGTCAGGGTGCGCACGGCTGTGAGTGTGTGTGTGTGGGGGGGGGGGGGGGGGGGGGGGGGGGGCAGAAGGAGGGGCTGTTGGGTCCCACACGTGGGCAGTGGAATCCTGGGAACCCGATGCAAAGAAAGGCTCAAACGGATGGAAGTCCAGCGATAGGGCGGAACCCCTGTGGCCCATCAGGGTGCGCACAGCACAGCTGGTGGAGGTTGGGTGGAGGTAGGGGGAGGGAGGAGGTAAGGGGCTCGCCAGCACGTGCACTGCCTCCTTCTGCCTCGGGTCCCACACGCGGGCAGTAAAGTCCAGCGAGCCCGATGCAACGAATGGCTCAAAAAGGTGGAAATCCAGCGCAAGGGCTGAACCCCTCTGGACTGCCAGTGTGCGCACAGCTGGTGTGGTATAAGGTGAAGGGGGAACTGGCAGAAGAACAGCTCAAAAGGTTGTTGGGGCCGGTCAGGGCAGGGTGAAAACGGCTGGTGTGGATGGGTGGGGTGTTGGGGTGGGAAAGTGGGATTGGGGGGAAATGAGAAGCAGTGGAACAGGGGAAAGGAGGCGTAGGTCCAAGGAGCGAAGACCGAGCCCTTTTGTGGCTAGTCACGGTGACCATGGTTGGGGTGGGTGGGTGCGTGGGGGGCTGGGGGGTTGGGGCAGGGCAAGGGAGAACACAATTAAGAGCCTTAGCATGCGAACGGCTGCAGCGAGTGTGGGTGGCTTGCCTTTATCTCAGCTCCTATAGAGCTTCATGGCCCACCTGTGCCCTCGTTGAGCTCCCACAGCTTCAGAGAGCCGCTGAGCACGCCCGAGATCGCCTGGTCCTCTGATCTGTTGAGCAGCACACCCTCCTCTCAATACCCTCACAGATCCAATAAGCTCACTCTGAATGCCTCACCTTTGCCCTCGTTGAGGTCCCACAGCTTCACCGAGCCGCTGAGCACTCCCGAGATCGCCTGGCCCTCCGATCTGCTCAGCAGTACTATCACCTCTTGCTACCTTCACTGAAACGCTGAGCTTCACAGTGCGTGAATCACCTTTGCCCTCGTTGAGGTCCCACAGCTTCACAGAGCTGCTGAGCACGCCTGAGATGGCCTGGTTCTCCGACCTGCTCAGCAGCGTGCTCTCCTCTCTCTCGCTTCACAAAAACCAATAAGCTTCACAGTGTGTGCCTCACCTTTGCCCTCGTTGAGGTCCCACAGCTTCACAGAGCCGCTGAGCACTCCCGAGATCGCCTGGCCCTCCGATCTGCTCAGCAGTACTATCACCTCTTGCTACCTTCACTGAAACGCTGAGCTTCACAGTGCGTGCCTCACCTTTGCCCTCGTTGAGGTCCCACAGCTTCACAGAGCCGCTGAGCACGCCTGAGATGGCCTGGTTCTCCGACCTGCTCAGCAGCGTGCTCTCCTCTCTCTCGCTTCACAAAAACCAATAAGCTTCACTGTGTGCGCCTCACCTTTGCCCTCGTTGAGGTCCCATAGCTTCACAGATCCACTGAGCACGCCCGAGATGGCCTGGTCCTCTGTTCTGCTCAGTAGCGTGCTCTCCACAGCACTCGTGTTGCCACTCAGTTTCTGCAATGGTTCGGCACATGTGCATGGAGAGACAGAAAGGTAAAATGAGGAGTCAAAAACAGGCAGCGAGAGAAAGAGCACGAGGAATAGGCACGGAGACTGCTCAGCAGCGCTCTCCACAGTGCTAGTGTTGCCGCTCTGCTTCTGCCATGGCATGGCGCATGTGGGTGGAGTGAGAGGAATCAAGATACGGAGACAAGTACGAGGCGGACATGGTGAGCGAAACAGCACTAGCTGCAGAGACTGATCAACAGAGCGCTCTCCACGGCGCTCTCCATGGCGGTTCGCGCTCGTGAATGGAACCGACCTGCTACTTCTTACTATTGCCACCCGCAATGACTCTATCTTACCTGTACATCTTATCCATACTTACGAGCACCAGCGGTTCGTGGTCGTGGATTGACCAGGGGAGCAGATTCTTGTCGTCGCCACCAAATACAAATCTATTCGCTTGGAACGGGTTACCAGCACTTACGAGCAGCGGTTCGCGGTCGTGAATGGACCAGAGGAGCAGCTTCGTGTCGTCGCCGCCCGTGATCACCCTCTCGCCCGCCTTCCGCCCGATGCTCACGCATTTGACGCTGGCTGTGTGGGCCGCGAATATCTGTTCGCTTGAAACGGGTTACCAGCACGCCGTGACTAGCACTTACGAGCAGCGGTTCGTGGTCGTGGATGGACCAGAGGAGCAGCTTCTTATCGCCTTCCGCCCGATGCTCACGCATTTGACGCTGGCTGTGTGGGCCGCGAACATCTGTTCGCTTGAAACGGGTTACCAGCACGCCGTTACTAGCACTTACGAGCAGCGGTTCGCGGTCGTGGATGGACCAGAGGAGCAGCTTCTTGTCGCCGCCGCCCGTGATCACCCTCTCGCCCGCCTTCCGCCCGATGCTCATGCATTTGACACTAGCGAATAGTTGTTCGCCTGGAACGGGTTACCAGCACGCTGTTACTAGCACTTACGAGCAGCGGTTCGCGGTCGTGGATGGACCAGAGGAGCAGCTTCTTGTCGTCGCCGCCCGTGATCACCCTCTCACCCGTCTTCCGTCCGATGCTCACGCATTTTACGCTGGCTGTGTGGGCCGCAAACGTTTCTGGTCGCCGTTAGGTCACGCGGTACAGATTACGTGGTAGCGAGTTAAGGAAACCGGGATGGCAATAGAAAAGTAACGAAGAACACTATAGCGAAGAGGGAACAGCAAAAGGTGGGAAAGCCAACAGAGACTGTAAAACTTGGGAAGGAGGTTGGGCAACGAGCACAGAAGTGGAAATGCAAGTCAAACCAGATTCTGCGAAAAGATTGAGGGCGGCTTGGACAAGAGCGTAAGTGTGTATAACGAGGATACGAATCTTCTGCGCTCTTCGCGTGTCTGGTCGTCCCATCGCAAGCTCTGTTTATGTCGATGCCATTGCAGATTCAATAATTAGCAGCAGACTGTGACGCCAACGATACTGCTAGCTGGTTCCTCACATGTCTTATTTTATTATCATACACACTATGATAGTAAAAGCGGACGAAGCCTATGGAGGTTCCCACTAGCTAATGGTTTTAAGTCTATGCTTGCTGGAGACTCCTCTTCGAGCAGAAAGGCACCCACCCAAAACTGTGTATCCGCAACGTGCCGGCCTAGGTGCTTCTGAACTCTATTCTGAGTCTAGCACTATTATGTCATCAGAACGACGATAATGGACCAAAGAATGACACTCGCGATCTTCGTCCTTCCGTAAGAAACGAGACTAAAGATATTGGCTAATACAACAAACGTCGTCAGTACGAAAATGCGTGACCGAATGGCGGCGCGAGGTAAAGAAACGCTAGAATCTAGGTGTGGATCAGCCAGCTCTAACTGTCTTCATTCGTTCAGGCTGAATTGCAAGGCACGACCAGGTAACCTCTAGGTTCTAGTCATTTTTTAACGGTGGAGAGAGCTCCTTGGTCTATGGTGGAGTTGTCGAGGTGACAGATGCTTTTGGCGGGAAACCCAAAAATCGGCTCTGCTCTGCTCATGGTCATTCCTGTTTTCCGTCGACGCGATGCCTTGTCGAACGAATGCAGAATAAATACCACTGACGAAACACTTCTCACGTTTCGCCTCTGCTCAACTTGAAAAGAAGAGCGTTCGCAGATGGTTGCGAAGATTGCCTTCCTTCGCAGAAAATATTGCGTGGTATGCGATGGAACCTCGGAGATGTGTGCCTTGGTTTGGGACCTTGGGAAAAGCCCGCCAAAGGTCGTCTGACACATTCGTTATACGAACTGACGCCGAACCGCTACCAATCTGTCAGTCCGTTCCAACGCACACACTTTCAAAAACTGGGAACATGTTTGTTTTGCACGCCATAAGCCGAATTCAGTCAGGTGGAACGCCAAGCGAGTTCCACTGTTGCGCGTATTTACTCGTGATAGTCTTCTAGAAGAATTCAGCGGCGGGGCAGCGGGGTTGATCGGTGACCAAATCACGCCGCTCAGCCTGTGTGCGCCGCGATCAGCGTTCGGCATTACGCCATCGCCCCAAGCCATATTTTTTTCTCGTCCGATCTGTCACTACGACCAACCAATCGCTGCATCGCCTCGTATCCCCAGCTACCCGTCGTGTGCCCTTATGACCGTTTATCGCGCCGCACTATATAGTAGGCGCATCCATGGCGTCTTCCGGCGTGTTTTGAGTCGACTCGAGACACGCCTGTGCCCTTATGACCGTTTGTCGCGCCGCACCACATAGTAGGCGCATCCATGGCGTCTTCCGGCGTCAGATCGCTTCAACGTTTTCGTTCTCGATCTTCAATCCGTCTCGCGCGCGGCGTCAGTTCAAACAATTCCCTCGCTTTGGCAGCTCCATTCTCGACTCATCTCGCGAGATTGCTGCATTCCAGCGGTGCACGAGAGCCGTGCGACAGTCATAGTAGCGACAGCTGCGAAAATGAAAGAAGGGTTACCACGAATCTGGGATCGGATTCAAAAGAAGCAGCTCCGAGCCTTGAGCGACCGACAGACGAGCCTTCTGAGAGGTCTGGTGTTGCAACGGGGTTCGGAGCTGGCAACAGCTTCGGAGGAACAAGGAGGTTCGGATCTCGAGAGAGCAGGTTCGGCGAGATCCAAGCGGATCGCGGCTTGCTGAGTCGGATTATGAACCTCGCATCCGCCGTGGGGAGCGCGACGGAGAGAAGCGACGGATATCGCGACAGAAAATACGACGGCGAGGGCGACAGTGTGAGCGACAGAGGGAGCGGCGGTCGTACTACCACTGATCCTAGTAGGATCGAGGCGGATGGCCCTATCAGCGGTTCCGATATTGACTTCTTTAGCTCCGATAGGCACAGCTCCGTTAGTAGCAGTGAAGCCAGCAGCGGCATTGACGAGTGGAAGGATTCGAGTGAAGCTGTGATGTCGGCGAGGGACGGGAGAGAAGGAGTCGGCGCGGAAAAGTCGTTCTTTGAGTCGACTCAAAATTCGTGGAAGGATTCGACTGAAGCTGTGAAGTCAGCGAGGGACGGGACAGAAGGAGGTGGCGCGGAAGCGTGGGAGGGGAGATTTGGGCGAGCAGTTGACGGAAACGGTATTCGGTGGTTGGGAGCGGTGGAGGAAGGAAGGGCGAGAGGAGCACGGGATGTGAGTGATGGTTCAAGGGGCGATGGGGGGTCAGGCGTGGGTGGGGAAGATGGAAGCGCGGGAGTAGGAAAGGGTGTGGCTGATGAAGAATCGCTAGGCGGGACGACTGGGATCAGCAGCAGCAGGGGCAGTGGCAACGGTAGTGGGTTGGACGCACTCCGGCTTCTGCTGAGGCGAAGGGGTAGCGAGCGAACGGGGGAGGAGTCCCCCCCAGGGAGGGCAGGTTTGTTCGGTCTAGGTGGCTCGGAAAGGACGAGAGAGCGTAGTGGTCGCGCGGAGGAGGAGATATTGAGAGGGAATGGGTGTTTGGGCGACGAGACCTCGCGAGAGAGGGGAGACGTAGGTGGTCGAGATGGCATGGAAGGGATGGGAGGGCGTAATGGGAGCAGGGAGGAGGGGATATTGAAAGGGAGTGGCGGCTTTGGGGACTCTGATGGTGCTGTGGAAAGGGGTGCGGGTACTGCAGACGGTGCAGCAGCAGTGTTCGGTAGAAGTGGACAACCTTGGAATGGCGTTTTATCGGGGCAGACTATAACGAGTACGGATGGAGAGTATTCGTGTTGCTATGGAGTGGAGGTGGCAGGCCTGCCTGCGGACGTATCAGAGGAGGACACGTGGCAGATGATGGAGGGGCGAGGTGGGGAGGTGGTGGATGTGAGGGTGTACAAAGGGACACGTGGCAGGGGCACACGTGCTGTGGTGTATTTTAAGACCGAGGAAGGCTTTTTGAATGCCCTAGCCTCTTCTCAACACTCTTCCTCCTCCTCTTCCGCTTCCTCCTCTTCCTCTTCCTCATCATCCTTTTCCTCCTCCCCCTCCTCCCACTCCTCCCCTCTCTCTCCTCCTCCTGTCTCCTTGCCCCTCTCTATCACCCCCTGCAGACACACCCTCCCACTCCTCTCCCCAACCACCCGGGCCCACGTTGACAAGCTGACGTGGCAGCAGCAGCACGTGACGTGGCAGCAGCAGAGTGGGAGCGGCAGCAAGCACACGGCAGAGAGGGGTGTGAGAAACGGGGAGCACAGGGTAGGTAGCATACGGAGGCAGCAACAGGGGAGGGTTCAGGGTTTAGGGTATAGTGCTTTAGGGCTTAGTGGTTCAAACAGTCTGCTAGAGCTTCTAAGCTCCCAAATTCCCCGCGTTTCACAATCGCGTTCCACTGACAGTTTACCCCTTCCTAGGAGTGAAGTCGCTGGTTTAGGCTCGGAACGAGCAGGTTCGGCGGCAGCTGGTTCGGGAGGTGCAGGCTTGGGGATGTTAGGTTCGGCGGGGGCAGCAACAGCAGCAGCAGGAAGGCGGGTGGTGGAACGGTCAAGAAAAGGTTCCGGGCTGCCCGACAACTCTTTCTCTTTCCCCCCGCTTGCAGCGAAATCAAGCTTCTTTACAGTCACACTCGTTAATATCTCACCGTCGGTCAGTGTGTCCCAGATTCGGGCAGCTCTTGAAGAGTTCGGGCAGGTGGACAGCCTGCGATTGGAGCAATCTGCGGGTCGGGCAGCTGGGAAAACATCAGAAGGGGATATCGGTGGACCTTTTGGCCAATCAGATTCCTTGGCTGCTCCTGAACCACAGCTGCATGCAGTGGTGACTTTCCAGGTAACTTCCTGCATTGATGATCTTTCTTTCGCCAACCTCAAAGTCAAAGCACACATATTGAGCAGCCCCGGCCACTCTCTTTGAGTCTGACTGAATAATCCACCCACCTGTTGTGTGTGTAACTTAAGGGTTTCTCCTGTTCCCACACCTCCACCATACTTTGTTCCCCACCCTCTCACACAGTCAAAGCAGGCACAGCAAGCAGCCAGCCCTAACCAATTTTGAGTCGACTCAAAAGATTTCTCCTTCCTCCCCTCCCCACCACCATATCTGATTCCCCACATACACAGTGAAAGCAGGCGTATCAATCAGCCCCGGCCACTCCTTTTGAGTCTGGCTAAAGAATCCACCCACTTGTTGTGTGTAACTTAAGGGTTCCTCGTGTCCCCTCACTGCCACCTTACCTATTTCCCCACCCACCCACACAGTCAAAGCAGGCAGGCACAGCAGCATGCAGCCCTGGCCACTCTTTCTGAGTGGACTAAACAATCCACCCACCTGTTGTCTTGTGTGTAACTTGAGGGTTCCTCCTGTCCCCCATCACCTTATCTTTTTCCCCACCCACCCACACAGTCAAAGCAGGCTGGCACGGCATGCAGCACCGGCCACTCTCTTTGAATCTGACTAAACAATCCACCCACATGTTGTCTTGTGTGTAACTTGAGGGTTCCTCCTGTCCCCTCGCCACCACCATACCATATTCCCCACCCACACAGTCAAAGCGTGCATATCGAGCAGAACTGGCCACTCTCTTTGAGTCGGCCAAATGTTCCACCCACCTGTTGTGTTGTGTGTAACTTGAGGGTTCCTCCTGTCCCCACACCTCCACCATACCTTTTTCCCCACCCCCTCACACAGACACAGCAGGCACAGCAAGCAGTCCTCATCACTTTTGAGTCAACTCAAAAGGTTTCTCCTTCCTTCCCTCCCCACTCACCACCATATTCGTCTCCCCGCCCACACAATCAAAGCAGGCACAGCATGCAGCCCCGGCCACTTCTTCCGAGCCGACTAAACATTCCACCCACCTGTTGTGTTGTGTGTAATCTCAGGGTTCCTCCAGCTCCCACCACCATATCTTTGAGACGTCTCAAAAATCTGCACCCCACCTCCGTATCTTTTTTATCCTGCCACCCACACAGTCAAAGCAGGCGTATCAAGCAGCCCTGACCACTCGCATCGTGACACTTGGCAGCACCACGGCGCACGTCCGAGCCTGCCCTGCAGGCTTGGAGCCGCTGGTGGTCCGGTTCGAGTCCAAAAACCCTCTCCGCCGTCAGGCTCGGCACGAGGCTCGGCAGCAGGGGCGGCAATCGTTGGACTGTAGCGCCGACCACTTCTGGCCTCGAGATATTCCGGTGCTGGCTGTGGATCTGCGGGCGGCGGGAGTGGTCGATGTTACGGTCGCGGTTACAGACAACAGCTCTCAGGCAGTGGCGGAGGTGAAAGAGAGGTGCGTAAGGGTTGCCTTGCCAATCGTGCAGCATGGTGTTGCACCATGGATGGGTACTGGCGGGCAGTTGGTAACAACGGACAACAGATCGCAGGCAGTGGCGGAGGTGAAAGAGAGATGAGACTGGTTTGCCTTGCAAAGTGAGTGACCTGGTAAAGTGGGTAACAACAGGTGAGAGGTAGGTAACGGACAGCAGCTCTCAGGCAGTGGCGGAGGTGAAAGAGTCGTGGCAGTGGCTGACGTGAAAGACAGGTGAGCTTGGGGTGCGAAGGCCTCACGGCCGAAACGCGTTCGCCTACGTTCTTTACTGAAGTTGGACTTACCAAGTCCTGATTCTACCTTTTTTCCCACTCTAAATACTCCTAGTTGTTAGTCAAGAATTTCAAGGAGACCCTACGCTTGCTGCGGCTCGAATCCATATTTTCTTGCGCAGTGGCTGACGTGAAAGACAGGTGAACTTGGGGTGGCCACCTCCTTTTGTCCTGCTCCCCTTCATCCCCCCTCCATATCCCCTGCCCCTTGCACCACCTCTCAGGCTCAAAGCAGCGAGTCCCCAGTGGGCTGTGAGCCTCCCATTCGACCCGCTCATCAGCCCCTGCTGCCCCTTGGAACCCGGGGGAGGGGGTGCAGAGAAGCAGAGGGCACAGTGTTCTTCCTTCCACCTCTCCCATACCATGTGCTCTCCTGCAGGCTGAAAGCAGCGAGTCCCCAGTGGGCAGTGAGCCTCCCCTTCGACCCGCTCATCAGCCCCTGCTGCCCTTTGGAGCCTGTAGGAGGGGGTGCAGAGAAGCAGAGGGCGCGGTTGAAGAAGGTGCAGGATAGGCTGGATGGCATGGGCTTGTGGTTACAGCGGTTACAGGTTCAGGTGGAAGATATGTCGGGTGTGATTGGTCGAGAGGTGGCTGCATTGGAGGGTGGTTTAGATGGTGATGGGGACAGTGATCGGGTGTAGTGATGGGTGAGTTTGTATACACTTAGGGAACGTTCCTGTGGAGACACTTGTGTCTCAATCCCCTTTTTCCCGAGTCGCGCCTGTAAATTTGCCGAATGTTATGTCACAAACAACCAATGTATCTCGACTCTGGGCGACAAATGTGCATGGCCAATTGGGCGCTTTCTATTGGTTGCGACCAATTGGTTCGGTCCACCTCCCCCTTTTCCCGTCGGGCATCCCAACCTAAAAACCGTCCCCCCGCGATTGACGAGCGGGGGCTAGCCATGGTAAAGGGAGTTGCACTTCGCCCGAGTCGTACCTGCTTGAAACACTTCACACAACCATGCTTGTGTGCAACTACTTCAGCAAGTACATAAACACAAGCATCACAGTCATGTCAAATGTTGTAGCCTATAGTGAGGTTTGTCTTAGGGGGTACAAAACTTAGGGTTAGCTATATGTACCCCAACCAACATCAATGCACCATCCATTCTTCATTCTGACATGGTATCAGTTAGGTTAGGATCCTGTGGGATCCCGTTCCGCCGTTCTCCGTTCGTACCACCCGAGCCTGATCCTAGCTCTCGTTCGTCTCCTTCTCGTTGTTACCGAGCCTAGCGCCGAGCCACGCTCTGGTTCACATCGTTCCAGCTGTTCCCGAGCCTAGCATCGAGCCACGCTCTCGTCGCCGCCGCGCCTGCCGCCGTCGCCCGCCCCCTGCGCGCCTCGCTGCGGCCCCGCCGTCGTCGCCCGCCGCTGCGCGCGTCGCCGCTGCGCCCCCTGCCGTCGCCCGCTGCGCGCGCTGCTGGCCCCTGCTGCCGTACGCGCTGCCATCGCCCGCCGCTGCGCCCGTTCTCGTTCTCCGCTGCTTAGTCCCCTGTTACCTCCCGCTGTCACGCCCGCTGTGGCGTCCGCTCCTCCCCTGTCCCAGAGTACCGCCGAACCCTAATTTGCCTCTCACCTACTGCTGTCCCCTCCCTCTCCGTCCGAAAGCGTTCGTTTTCGCTATGGCGACTCAGCGTGTCCTTCGTTTCGACGCTGACGGTAGACCTCTTGATTTTTCCGTCTGGCTTCTTCGTGCTCGCCGTCTGTTAGAGAGTCAGGTCCAGGCAGGCGAGTCCCTCTGGGCGCACGCTACTGGTGCCCTCCCTGCGCCCCCCGACCCTACGCCTTTAGGACCTGCCCCTGACGACGCCGCTAGAGCCCGCTTTGCCACTCAGCGAGCTGACCAGACGGCTTGGACGTCACGTGACGCTGCGGCCTGCATCGCGCTCAGCAGCCTCCTCCCTGAGTCTGAGGAGGTTCACTTCACTCAGGTTCGCACCGCTGCTGCGTACCTCACTGCGATTAAGGCCCGCTACTCTACTCCCGCTGCTGTCTCTCTTGGCCGCCTGTTCCTCCCGTTCCTGTTTCCTGACCTAGCGTCTTTTGAGCGCTCTGCTGACTTGATCGCTCACCTCCGCTCGCTCGACGCTAGTTACCGCGCTGCTTGCACTGAGGCACAGCTTGCACTGCTTCCTCCCCCTATGGCGATTACTATCTATTTCATCGCCACTAGCCTCCCTGACCGCCTTGCCTCCGTTCGCGACGCGCTTCTCCTGAAGCACCCTAGTGAGCTCACCGTCGAGGTCCTTGAGTCTGCACTCAAGGACGTCGAGAGCAACCTTCGCTCGGTAGCCGCTGCCTCTGGTGCTGTGCCCCCACCACTCTTCCACGGGTGCACAGTCCCGCAGTTACCCACCTTTACTGCCTCACTTGCCACTGCCGCTACTGACGCGACTGCAGCTGCTGTTACGACTGCGTCGCGGTCCCGCGGTAGGAGTGGCAAGAAAGGCGGTTCTGGTGGTGGTAGTGGAGGTGGAGGCGGAGGTAGTGGAGGTGGCGTTGCGCCTGGCGGCGGTGGAGGTTCAGGGCCTGGAGAGGCGCCTCGTGCAGTGACTGGTGACTCCACTGCGCCTGCTGGTGGTGGCGACGCCCGAGTTCGTCAGTCGCCTCCTGTACTTCCTGCCCCGGTTGGTGGAGCAGCGGCGTGGTACCAGGCTCAGCGTCAGCAGCAGCTTCTGCAGCACCAGCAGCCCCTCTCCTCCCAGCAGCCTCAGCAGCAGCAGCGGCAGCAGCTGGCTCCAGGGTCGGGGCTGCGTCAGACCCAGCGCGGTGCTGCTTACACTCCCTGCACCTACCAGGTTCTGACAGGCACTCGTCGTGGCCACCCTTGTGGCCGGTTTCACCCCCCTGGTCAGTGCTTTGCTCAGCTCACTGACACGGTTCGTTTGGTCTACGGGGTTGGTGCTCCTGCCCCTGACTGGCTGCCTCTTGTTCAGCGCTACGGCTCCGCTCTGTGGGGCATGTCTGCTGAGCAGTTAGTTGATCTGATTGGTACTCCCCATGCTATGTATGCTGTTGTTGACTCTAGTGTTTCTGACTCTGCTTACTCTGGTGTTGTTAGCTTAGGTGCTAGCCTTGCTCAGTTGCCTGTTGCTAGTGTAGGTTCTTGTGTAGACTCTAGTCCAGCGGCTACCTCAGAGGACGGTTCGCTGTCGTTCACGCTGGACTCTGGAGCCTCTCACTGCTTCTTTCGTGACAGCACGACACTTACGCCTCTTCCTGCGCCTGTTTCTGTGGCGCTGGCTGATCCCACTTCGGGACCAGTCACCGCGCGTCACACTACCACCTTGCCGTGTCCGGCTGCTCCTTCTGGGTCTCTCACTGGGTTTCACGTCCCCTCGTTCTCCCGGAACTTGGTGGGCGTGCGACCCCTCGTGAGTCAGCACGTGGGTGTGTGGTTTGAGCCTTCTGGAGAGACTGCGGTGTGTGTTGACGGGGACTCTTACCAGCCCCTCGCCACTTTTGCTGCTGAGCCGGGCTCCGGTCTCTACACTCTTCACACTGGCCCGCGCCCTCAGCAGCGACTGCAGCAGCAGCAGCAGCCGCAGCAGCAGCAGCAGCAGCAGCCGCAGCCACAGCCGCCCCTCCTGCCCCCGGCCCCTGTTTTGCCCCCCGTTCGAGTCCTCGCGTCTCACCAGGTTGCTCCGTCCCCCCAGGTAGCTGTGTCTTGTCAGGTTCCTCCGTCTAGTCCGGTCGCTGCGTCGTGCTCCTGTCGGTCGCTTGCCCACCCCACCGTTTTGTGGCACCACCGGCTGGGGCACCCTTCTCCTCCTCGTCTTCGCGCTATGTCTCGTCAGCGTCTTGTCTTAGGTCTCCCGCGTGTCTTGCCGTCGCTGCCGCCGTCCCTTGCACCACCGTGCGGTCCTTGCGTCGAGGGTAGGCTGCGCGCCACCCCTCACTCCTCCTCCCTTCGTCCGGCCACCGAGCCTTTTGAGACGCTGCACTTGGACGTCTGGGGCCCCTCTCCTCGCCCTGGCCCTGAGCGTGAGCGTTTCTTTTTGGTGGTCGTTGACGACTACTCCCGCTACACCACAGTGTTCCCCCTGGCGAGGAAGTCTGAGGTGACTTCTACGCTGATCAGGTGGTTGCTTACCACCCAGGACACTCGTGGTCGTCGTGTCAGCTGTCTCCACTCCGACCGTGGGGGCGAGTTTCGCTCCGGCATTCTCGCTGGATTCTGTCGCGAACAGGGCATTCGTCAGTCCTGGACGCTTCCGGAGTCCCCACAGCAGAATGGGGTTGCTGAGCGTCGCATAGGCCTGGTCATGGAGATTGCCCGCACCTCCTTGACTCACGCCCGTGCCCCCCATTTCCTGTGGCCATACGCGGTCAGGTACGCCGCGCACCAGCTGAACCTCTGGCCACGCGTCTCTCGGCCGGAGGCTTCACCGACCAGTCTTTGGACAGGGTCCCCTGGTGTCGCGTCGAGGTTTCGTGTCTGGGGGTGCTTGGCTCTTGTCCGCGACACCTCCGCGGACAAGCTCTCGCCTCGCGCCGTTCCTTGTGTCTTCCTTGGTTTCCCTGAGGACTCCTCTGACTTCACCTTTTACCACCCTCCCTCTCACCGGTTCTTTGACTCCCGTGACGTCCGTTTCGAGGAGTCCACCCCCTACTACGTCAGGTACCCCAGTCGAGGTCTCCCGGTCCCTCCCCCCCCTCTCTTCCTGACCGCCGCTCCCCCGCCTGCTCCCCCGGTACAGCCTCCCCCCCCTGGTCCAGCCCCGTCTGGTGTGTCTCAGGCTAGCCCTCCCCCTTCGGTAGCCCCCCCTGTACAGCCTCCCTCCCCACAGTCTTCCTCGCCGCCTCCTGCAGGTGCTCCCTCTCGAGAGGTTGGTCCTGCGACTGTCCCTGTACAGGTCTCTGGTTCTGGGGGTGCTGGAGTTGGAGCTGAGCCGCGGGTTGCAGAGGACTCTTGTCTTCCGGGGGCTGGTACTGGTCGTGCGGAGTCTGGGGGTGCTGGTGCGGAGTCTGGGGGTGCTGCGTCTGGGGGTGAGGGTGTCCCTTCGGTTTCTGGAGAGCCTGGGTCTGGAGCTGGTGTTGGTGCTGCCTCTGGGGGTGGTGTGCTTGGTGCTTCGGAGGTCGACTCTGGGGCTGCCGCTGCCCCGGACACTACTCCTTCCCCCCACCCCTACCCGACCAGGTTCCAGGCTCGTGTTCGCCGTGCTCGTGAGGAGCAGCTGGAGTTGGAGAGAGAGGAGAGAGAGTTGCAGCGGCTCGAGGAGCAGGAGCGACAGCAGCAGCAGCAGCAGCAGCAGCAGCAGCCGCAGCAGCCGCAGCAGCAGCAGCAGCAGCTGCTGCCGTCTCCTCCTCCTGTCTCGGGTCTTCGGACCCTTGGTCTCCCGTCTCCCTCTCCTTCCTCCTCCCCCTCTCCTCCCGTCTCTGGTCCTCCGCTTCCTCCTCCTGACCCCTCTCCCGCTGTTTTCCCTCGTTCTCAGTCTTCGTTGTCTCCTCCTCCTTCTCAGACTTGGGCCTCTCGTCGCTCCCCTCGTGCTCGTCCCTCGTCTCCTGTTCCCTTCACTGACCTTCGTACAGCCTTCCTTTGTTCTCGTCCACCTCGTCCGTCTCCGTCTGTGCTTCCGTCTCCTCCTGAGTCGGCCCTCACTGTGTCGCTTCCTTCTCCTGTCACTGACTAC